TATCCCAGACTCTGTGAGACCAGGTGCGGTGGCAGCGAGGATCCCAAAATGGCAGAGTACAGCTGTCTTTTGGGCCTTGAGGGGCAGCGAGGCGTAAAGCATTTATTCCACTCCCTGGGAAGTAGGGTGTCTTGGCAGCTCAGACTCTAGAGAGCTAGTCTAGCTCCAGGAAAGCAGGGCACTAGAGTTGTTGCGTCTGTAGGGTGGGGTATTTCAGTTCAGCTACTGCTGTTTTCCTGGGATGTGGGGTACTGCATCAGCTCAGCTCTGGAATGCATAACTGCTGAGGCACTGATTCCTCAGGGGGTGCTGCACTGCTTCAGCTCAGGCCCAAAGTGTGCTCTGAGCATCCTAGAAACCATTTCCCTGAGACTCAGGGTACCACTTCAGCCTGAGTACCGGGGTGTGTGACTGCACTGTTTTCCGGGAGGCAGGTCACTGCTTCACCTTAGGCACTGGGGAGGTGTGACTGCTTTGTGTGGCAAAGGCACCATCCTGGAGGGATTGCTTCAACTCTGGCACTGAGGGGCAGGGAGAACCAGTGACTGGGAGGTGTATATGGAGCAGCTTTGCCAAGGCAGTTTCCTTGGAAGGCAGCATGCAGCTTTAGCTCCAGCCTGAGGGTACAGGGTACAGCCATGACTGGCAGAGGTAGTTGGAGCAGTTCCACTGCCACTTAGCCCCAAGGGGTGGGGTGTAGCAGCAGCTCACAGCTTGGCTTGTGAGTGCTGGGCCACTGGGCCAGGAGCGGTTTGCTCGTAGTTTAGCCTCTTTGATGGAAGGGTGCCATGGCCACTCACACCTAGGTCAAGACACAGTCCAGAAGTAGTTCCAGTTCCAAGATTGTGTAGTGCAGTAGCCACATGGGGGTGGAGCACAGTGTTGGTGCTTTTGCTGGGGGGAGCACAGCTGTGTGGACACTGTACTTAGCTGTGTGAGCTTAGTGCCTGTGAGGACTGCTGGGGTCCCCAGTGGTGAAGACTGTAGGTGTCCAAGGTGTTGATGAGGGCTGCTGGGATCCTCTTGCTCACCTTTTTCCCCACAGGGAGAAGTTCTTCCTGGTTCCCAACTGATCCTGGCTGGGGGATGTCATGGTGGAGGCTGTTCTCTGTGTGGCTGTCCTGAGTTTCTGTGCTCACTGGGGTTTCTGTTACTCCTTTGATGTACTTGGCATTCTGTTAGTTATTTTTGTCAAAACATAGTTGTTTGTTTGTTTTGGCTGACTTTGTCATGGGATGAGTGCTAAGGTCTTCTAGTCAGCCATCTTGCTGACATCCCACTTATCTGTACTATTGTTTTTTAAAAATAGATTCTTTCTGGGGTTTTTTTCCCATTAAAATTAGTGTTATTTTTATATAGTTCCCTTAACAAAGACTGCAAAAAGAACGTGTGAAGGCAAATTCTAGAAGTCACTGGAGGATATTATATATATGAGAAGTATTACTTATTTTTCTGTATGTAATCAAATGATACCAAATGAAAAATTTTAATTTGTGCTACTTACTCTCAAAACCACAATTAAATGTAATAGCATTAGAAATATTAATTCCTTGAGCAACAAGCAGTTCAGTGAATGTATTTTATACCAAAGTCTAAGTTTATTTTGACCTCGGAGGAGTTGAATTAAGGTTTTATTATTCTAGGGCCTTAATTTCTGTGACATTAATAGAATATATCCAGTTTAAGTTGGCTAATGAATAACACAATGGGAAATAAATAGAACATCTTTTTAAAGTGCATATTACATCTTTGGCATTCTGTCCTCATTTCAAATTTATACATTGAGGAAATATCCCAAAAGGAGTTTGAAATTTTCATTAGCACTTTTTGGAGTACTTGCTATGTTTTTTATTTTTATTTTTTGCTGGTTGGTATGGGGTTGAACCCGACCTTGGTGTTATCAGCACCGTGCTGTAGCCAACTGAGCTAACAGGATACTTGCTATGTATTACACAGAGTATCTTTTTGATCTCCCAATGAGTGCTCTACAGGGTGTAGGTATTATTCCCCTTTATAGCAAAAAAAAAAAAAAAAAGAAAAGAAAATGCTGATAACGTGGATAATAAGTGATTAAGTTAGGATTAAAGCTTAACTAATTTGTTAATTAATCTTTTTATTTAGACTTTATTTTAAAACATTAATAATACAAAATCTGTTTAGAAATATTCACAACTTTGCCCCAGAGAAATGGTAACACTTCCATACTATGTTACTTCTGGCTTGTATTTTCTGAAGATCCTCTGTATTATCTGTTGCTACATAACAAATTATCCAAAATTAGCAGCTTAAAGCAATACACATTCATATTATCTCACATTTTATAGGATTAGGAATCTTGGCATGCCTTAACTGAGTTCTCTGCTTCAGGGTCTGCTCCAAGGTCACAGGCTACATTCAAGGTGTTGGATAGGGCTTGGCCAGTGAAGGATCTGCCCATAAACTCACTTGGTCGTTTGCAGGATTCAGTTCCTTTTGGACTGTTAGACTGTTGGCTTCTCTTGGTTACTTCTCACATGGACCTCTTCATAAAGCATGTCATGAAGCAGCTTAACTTCATCAGAGCGAGTAAGTGAGAGGGTGAGAGAGAGTGGTAGCAAGATGGAAATCACAGTAACCTAATCAAGGAAGTGACATCCTATCATTCTGTCATACTGTTTGTTAAAAGGAGTTACCAGGTCCAGTCCATACTCTAGGAGAGAGGATTACAGAACAGTATGAATACCAGCATGTGGGCATCACTGGTGACCATTTTGGAAGGTTGCCTACCACAACTGCCAGCCCACTGTTCCGTATTTGAGGTGCCAGGAGTAGAGGTGCAGTCATAGAAGAGGGTAGGTCACCTCTTTCAACAAGCCCCCATCTCATAGCTATTACGAGTTTTTGTCCAGAAGCTCATGACCAGCATAAATGGTAAGAACTAAGAAATAAAATTATGTCATAGTAAGGGGTTTGGCTGAGAGAGTCAGAAATGTGAAAGTCATAGGAAGAAAAGGGATGTCAAGAAATATGAAAAAAGGAGTGAAGGAATTATCAGCAGGAGCCATTCTCCATATGCAAATATCTTGGAAAGTTGAGGGATGATTGGGAGGAGTCAATGGGTTCATGGTAATAGTAAAAATTTTCATCTCAGTTAACTCTCTGTGTATTCTTCAGGGTTCTGAGCAAGTCCTTAGTTTGTTTCTATAACTCCTTTCTTACCTCCTTGGAAGAATCCTCTCCCTCTTTTCCCCATCTCCCTCCTGGCCCCAAAGATGCCCAGATGACCTGAGCTCACTCATTCTTTCCCATTCCCATTTTCTGAGCACTGAATAAGTCTGAGCCCTCCATCCTCAACTTTGAGATTTACAGCTTCTCTCCTCAACGTCCAACAGAAAAATTGTGTGGAAGAGACTAGACTCCAAAGTTGGGGAGAAAAAAGATGAAGATTTCACTGAGAAGAGGCAGTTTCTGATACATTCTATCCAGAAGGGCCAGTAGTGTACATATAGGAAAAAAGTTAAGTATAAACTTTTACTCAGAGCAAAGTGACAGCGCACACACATTTATACTCTCTCCAGTGTGCTCTATCAGAAGTACTCAAGACCACCCCCAGGATGATAAAACATAGACAAGCATGTCATGGATCTGAAGGAACATCCTTAAACTGGATGATTCAGTCATCCAGGGAAAATCTTCCCCCACAGCGAGCAGAGGTTACCAATTCCTAGTTATGTGTGCATACTTTGAGTCCTATCCTTCAAAAGTCAAGAGTTAAAACAGATAAAACAGAATACCTAAAATAGCCTTAAAAACAAAATGGAAAAGTATAGAGCCTTATCAAGAAATAATATTATTAAAGTTTCTCATTTGGAGTGATCTATCCCACCAGATGGGTAGTGGGAGTGTTTTTAAAAATGAATCTACTCTGATAACACTATGGTCCAGGGTTTGATCCCGGTACCAGTCAGCCACAAAAAAATAAATATATGATTGGCCCATTGAGGGAGAGAGATTTCTAGAAATAACCTTCCCTTGCCTGTACCTCACCCCAAATTGGAATCTATGAACTACAATCCCATGTAGGTAAGAATACTAGATTTCAAGAATTGTTACATATAATTATAATCTTTAAAAAGCCCCCCACTACAAAATAAAATCAGTGGTTTTTAAATATAGGCACCTGATTTTTCTGACACATTCAGCTTAAGATTTTCCATCTGGAGGAAGAAGTTAAGAGTCCATGTGTGCAAGGGTGAGGTTGGTAGTGGAGGTGAACTATAAGCAAACACAGGGGATCTTATGGAAATGGTGATGGTTGCACAACTTGGTAAATTTAATAAAAACCATAGAAATGTACAACTCAAAATGAGTGAATTTTATGGTATATAAATTGTACCTTCATAAAGTTATTTTTGAAAGAGGCAATGTGTAAACCTGTTAAAACCATGTCATGAGCCTTTTAATAAGATATTACTCTCTTTTATTTCCTTGTAAATTCTTCCTTTCTTATTGCACATTGATCCTGTGATATCAGATCTTTTTCTGTCCTATCACTTTTCTTAAAAAGCTGCCCTCTTCCTCAGTTTCTGTTTTTCATTATTTTGGTAAAATTATTTTATATGAAAATAAATGTTTAGGAGATATAACTAGAAGGCAAAATAAATAAATCTCAAATTAATTTATTCTGCAGAGTTATATATATGAAAGTAAGAAAGGTGATTTTTTACTCTGTTCTTTTCTACCCTTTCACATTCCTAAATATATTTACTTCCTGGTAACTTTGCAGGGACCCATTTAGAGTCTAGATCTGCTGCTGTCTCTTGTGGACCATATCACTGGAAGTAAAGATGCTTCCCATGGTGAAGCAAGTAATTGGACAAGTCAGTTTATCCAGTGTCTCTTTATCCTTTCCCCCCATTGAACTTAAGTATTTGGAATGGTCAGATCTTTGTGTATATTATAAATATTAAAGTTAAGAGATTAAGAACCTTGCTTAATTTAATTTCTTATTATTCTGATAGCTCAGATCTAATCCAAGTGAAAATGAAGAAAAAGAAGCCCAGTCCCAACTTATAAAATCTGATGAAATGCAACGATTGTATTCACAAGCCCTTACTGCTTTTGAAAGCGCAGATTATACTGCTGCTATAACCTTCCTTGATAAGATGTTAGAGGTAAGTTTTTTAGATACAGCAGCTAACAAGCCTAACAGTTACTACTTTTTGCTGTAAGGTATGTTTATATACTTTGACACGTTACATACCACAGTAAACCTAGACAGGATGAAATCAGATTGGCCCTTGGGCTTTCAGTTCTTAAGTGAAAAATCGTGTTTATATAGAACAAAATTTGGAACAGAAGTTTTTCAGTAAGTGTACTGAGTGAGAGGTACACATATTTTTATGCATTGCTTGCTTTGCTATTTTGATTTGATTTTGTATTTTTTGGAAGGAAGAAAACTCTAGAGGTTAGATAATGGGGTAAAAGATGAAAGAATTGGTTGAAGAAAAAGGGAAAATGATGTTTGGGAAGAAAGAGGATTGTTTAGAGTGAGAAATTTCTAGAGAAGAAGGCAGATAAAGATAGGATTCAGAGGGCTCTAGGTAGGGAAACTTAAGTCTAGGGTTTCCTTGTCTCTGAAAGATTTAATGACACATGATTTCAGAAAGAAGTCTATTAAAATATTCAGATAAAAGTGGTTGTAGTTCTTGTTTACCATTTTCACAGTGCTTTGATGTACAATTTTATTTACTCTTGTCAGTAAACATATATAGAACGTGCATTTTTTGGATAATTTTATAGAGAAAATAATGTGAGTGGTCCAGTGGAATTCATGTTTTTCTGAAATTTTTTGTTAATGCTTTATTAACGAAATAATACCTTTCAGTAGTTAGGCTATCCATTTTGACGTCGTTTATTATACATGATATTTTTTATGTAAAATGTTGATTTTGATAATCTTCATTTATGCGAAAAGTTGGCATGACTTTAGAACAGCTTTGAGAAATATGTAAAGATACTGCCACAGGCCTTATTGGTGAGCTTTTGGGTTTATATTTTGAAGCATACTAGTATGTTTACTAAATGTTATGTACTTTTTGTTAACAAGAATGGTGAAGTCTCAACCTCCTGCCTTCTCACGTTGTTTTTCTTTTATTTCTTTTTTTGATATGATGATTTAATTTCAAGGAGGTGACATTTTACAGAAGAGAATTTCATTTAATTATCAGTAGAATAAAAATATTTTGTTAATTTAGAACCTAGATTTTATTTTTTAACTAGAAATTAGAATTGTTAAGTACGAAAATCTCATTATAGAGTATTCTCTTCAAATATACTTAATTGGAAACAGCCCTGTAATAGTAAATGCTATTATGTTTTCTTATTTTCAGAGTTTTAGAACTATATAATTGAAGGAGGGAGGAAAAGGGCCTTGTTATTATATATATATATATCCTTTCCCCCCATTAGAATTTATTTAAGATATCCTAGAAGAAATTACTGTCACATCATTTTTGTCACATTTAAGTTGTATTAGACTTTTTAATACTATTTATAATATAGGAGTCATCACATTGAGACTGTTTATGTTAATATGTATATAAAAATGTGAGATGCAAGAATGAATGTGCATAATTTATTGTTTCTTAAAATCTAGTTCTTTTGTTTCTCAAGGTTTGTGTTTGGGATGCAGAACTACGGGAACTTCGAGCTGAATGTTTTATAGAAGAAGGGGAACCTAGGAAAGCTATAAGTGACTTAAAAGCTGCATCAAAATTAAAGAATGATAATACAGAGGCATTTTATAAAATCAGCATACTGTATTACCAACTAGGAGACCATGAATTGTCCCTCAGGTCAGTTCTAGTGACGTAATAATACGATCTTTTTTTTATGGTTGGCAGTAAGTTAATAACCTCATCTTCTTTTAAAATTTTAATACTAATAAAATTATGGTGGTTAAGTTTGCTCTTATATTCTATATCCATTTATATGTTGTATGTTATCCCTGAGTTACTCTAATTTCACAGTTTATTGTCATGGAATATGCTTATTAAAATAAACAGGAGGGCTATTATATTTGCAGAAGAAAAATGAGTTGTTTAATGTATAACTCTACATAAGTCATTTTAATTTGAATTAATAAGTGTGTGCATGGTACAGTGTCCTATATAAAGGTACAAATTAAATTATTGTCAGTATGTTTTGCTTAATTGTTACAAATGAAAAATACTTTTTTGTGATTTCTGTATTTAGTTTGGAAAACTACTCATTGATTATTTTGTCTTGGAATATTTTCCTTTTTTAAAATAATTCATGAGCAGTGAAGTTCGTGAATGTCTTAAACTTGACCAGGATCATAAAAGGTGTTTTGCACACTATAAACAAGTAAAGAAGCTTAATAAGATGATTGAGTCAGCTGAGGAGCTCATCAGAGATGGCAGGTAAGAATATGCTTATTCCAACCACCCAGACTTTCCTTATATGTCTGGTTGTGGACACAAATGAACAACAGAACTGTTTACTGCTTAGCATTGAGGGTGGAGTATTCTAGATAGCACTGGGCCTTAGCAAAACTACCAGAACTGTATAGTTTTGGAATAAGGCATAATATAAATAATAGTAATTGCTTAGTATCCTTACCAGCAAATGTATTTATGTTACTACAATTATTACTGTGTATCTCCTGTTTCAGGCACTGAGCTATATACTGAGGGTACAGAAATGAATTTGACTATAGTTTTTGGAATTAAGTTTATAGCTTAGTGTGGGAGACAGACATGTAAACTGATTATTAAAAGCTAATGTGATAACAAAGTGATAGAGTGTGCAGAGTGTAATGGGAGTACCAAGGAGGGCATTTAATCCAATCCAGGGTAGTAAAGTCTAGGAGTAAAAAGAGAAGCTTTTTGGAGAAGGTGATAGGTGTTGAAATCTTGATTTTAAAAAATAAGTAGGAGTTGCCAGAAGGGGTTGTGTCTATGTGTTAAGTGTTGTTTGTAGGGGTTTGTAGGCTGAGAGAGGAGGGGTTGAAGAGAAGCTCTGACCTCCTTCCTCCTAATTCTTTTGTAAGTTACCATCATGAGAATGTTGTACCAAATTTCCCCTAACATCTTGCAAAACATCAATATCCTCGTCAGGATATTGACATAGGTACAGTCAAGATACAGAATGATTCCATCTCTGCAGGATCCCTCATGTTCCTGTCCCTACCCCTTCTTTAGCTCCTAACAGCAGTCTGTTCTCCACATCTATAATTTTGTCATTTCAAGAATGTTATAGAATTGGAATCATACAGTATGTAAACTTTTGGGATTGGCTTTTTCTCCTCAGCATAATTCTCTGGAGATTCATCCAGATTGTTGTGTGTATCAGTATTTCCCTTCTGTTTACTGCTGAGTAGTTTCTATGGCATGAATGTACTATAGTTTGTTTAACCATTCACCCATTGAAGGACATATGGACTTTTTCCAGTTTTTTTGCAATTATGAATAATGCTTTCATGTACAGGTCTGTGTGTGAATGTAAGCCTTCATTTCTCTGGCGCGAATGCCAGGAATGTAATTGCTGGGCTGTGTGATAGTTTCACGTTTAGTGTTTAAGAAATTGCCAAGTTGATTTCCAGAATGGCTTGTACCATTTTATATTCCTACCAGTTATGTATCGAGAGATCCAGTTTTTCCATATTTTTGACAGCATTTGGTGGTGGTACATTTTTTTTGTTTTAGCCATTCTGATAGGTGTGTAGTGATATCTCATTGGAGTTTTAATTTACATTTACCCAGGGGCTAATGATGAATGTGTTTTCATGTGTTTATTTGACATCTGTATATCTTTGGTGAAATGTCCCTTCATGTCTTTGCCCATGTTCTCATTGGATTGTGTGTTTTTTTTCTGTTGAGTTTTGAGAGGTTTTCTAGATGCTAATGCTTATTTTCTCTCACTCTTTAGCTTGTCTTTTCATCCTCTTAACAGCTCTGTTTGGTGTATACACATTTAGGATTGCTGTGTGGTAGATGGGTGGATTGACACTTCTAACATTCTATATTGTCCCTCTCTGGTAATTTACTTTATGTGATATTGTAATCTTTCTTGCTTTCCTCCAATTAATATTTACATGGTATGTTCTTTTTCATCCTTTTACTTTCATTCTGCTTATATTATATTTGAAGCGAGTGTCTTGTTGACAGCCTTTAGTTAGGTCATAATTTTTTAATGCCATCTGCTGGTCTCTTTTAATTGATGTATTTAGACCATTTACATTTTATGTAATTATGATATGTTAGGGCTTAACTGGCATTTTATTCTTTGCTTTCTGTTTGTTCTCTGTTTTTCTCTTTTTTCTATCTTCCTGTTGGTTACTCGAACATTTTTTAGAATTCCACTGGCTCCCTGCTTGGCCTTCTGTGACACCACTATGGTAGGGGTGTAGTGGCACCTTGTTATAGCCTCACTGGTGAGGAAGTCTAGGCTCTCCACTCGGCCTTTGCTGGCATTGGTGAGGGTGGGCCGTAATTTTCTCTGTAGTGTTTGGCTGGAGTAGAGCTGTTTTTGTTAAAAAGTTTTCTGCTTTGCTAGGCTGCCCTTTTCAGGTTCTTTGGCTAGGGAGAGCAGACTTTGGCTGGGATTTTGTTGTTGTTGTTCTGTACCCACTGTCATTTCTGGGTTGCTGACATCTTCAGTTCCATGTACGGTATGTATGAAGCAAAAAAGAAACCCAGGAAACTCATCATCATGTTTTTCCTCAGGTCCTGATGTCACTAGCTAGTCTGCCTTCTTCTCTCTCCTTTTTAGAGTCTTATATTTAAAAAATATATATAATGTCTAGGATTTTTAGTTTAATGTCTGGAATAATTGGGAAATTTCATCTATTCCACTTTCCCAATAGCTAGCTTTTGTTTTAAATGTTCTATTTAAACCTGTTTTTAAATTTTTTTTATTTTTTAGCCTAACATACTTATTTTATTTTATTTTGGGAGAAAAATACAATAAAAAGTTTATTATCTTTTCAATTTTGCTACCTCAAAATTTAATCAAGAAGAAAACTTCCCAAAATAAATATCTATTTTAAATTGGCTTCTACTAAACATACAAGGAATATAAACATACAAGGAAAACAAAAAAATGTTAGAGATACAGGTGGAAATTCAGAGATAATTTGTCATTTTAGAAGCCTGTTGCTTCTAAATTCTTTTTTTTTTTTTTAATTTTCAGTGCTTAGAGGAAAATTTATACTTTTAAACACCTATATTAAAAATAAGAAAAATCTCAAATCAGTGATGTAAATTTCTACCTTAAGAAAATAGAAAAAGTAGAGCAAACTAAACCAAAAACACATATATGTAGGAAATAATAAAGATTCCAACACAAGTATATATAGGGAATTAAAAAACAATAGAGAAAATTAAGAAAACCAAAAGTTGATACTTTAAAAAGATGAACAAAATTTGCAAACCTCTATCTAGACTGACCAAGAAAAAAGAAAACCAAAATTACTAAAATCAGAAATAAAGTAGGGGCATTATTACATTGCCACTATGGCTTTTTGTGGTGGTAAGATTTAGTTTCTTTCTCTTTCTTGTTTGCATTTTTGTTCTACCAGTGGGTTTTGTTCTTTCTTGTGTATTCGTGGTAGTGATTATTGTTTTTCAGATTCCAGATGCGGGACTTCCTTTAGGATTTCTTGTAGGGCTGGTCATGTGGTAAACTCCTGAAGTTTTGTCTGTCTGGAAAATACACTATTTGTCCCTCCTTTCTGAAGAATAGCCTTGCTGGGTAGAGTATTCTTGGCTGGCAGTTTTTTTCTTTTAGTATTTTGAATATATCACTTTATTTTCTCCTGGCATGTAGAGTTTTTGTTGAGAAGTCTGCTGTTAGTCTGATAGGGGCTCCCTTATTGGTGACTTGAAGCTTTTCTCTTGCTTCTTTTAAGGTTTTCTCTTTGTCTTTGAGCTTTGCCAGTTTGACTACAACGTGTCTTGGAAAGGATCTTTTTGGGTTAAATCTGTTTGAGGATCTTTGAGCCTCCTGGATCTGAAAGTCTGTGTCTCTCCCTGTAACCGGAAGTTTTCCGTTGTTTTGACAAATAGGTTTTCCATTCATTTTCCTTTCTCCTCTCCTTCTGGAACACCGCTGATTTGAATGTTTGTGTGCTTAAGGTTGTCTTCTGTCTCTCTTAGATTCTCTTCATTTTTTAAAAATCTTTTTTCCTTTTTTATGTCTGCCTGGGTTATTTTGAAAAGACTGTCTTCAAGATCAGAAATTCTTTTTTCTGCTTGCTCTAGCCTGCTGCTTAAGCTCTTGGTTGTGGTTTTTTTTTTTATTTCATTGAGTGAATCTTTCAGTTTCATGAGTTCTGCTACATTCTTTTTTAAGGTATTAATCTCTGTAAATTTTCTCCTTCATATCCTGGATTTATTTTCTTGTTTCATTGTGTTGTCTGAGTCTTCTTGTATCTGAGTTTCCTTAAGATTGTTGCTCAGAATTCCTTTTCAGTCATTACTAGGGTTTCCTGCTTTATAGGGTCTGGTATTTGAGAATTGCTGTATTATTTTGGTGGTGTCATATTTTCTTGGGTTTTCATATTTCTAGTATCCCTATGTTGATGTCTGGTCATCTGGTATAGCAGTTGCTTGTTCTATTGCTCTGGAGTGGGCTTTTAGGAGAGAGACATCCTCTTCTTTTTTTGGTCTCTGCTGGTGACTCTCCTTGTGTCAGTGCAGTAGTGTCTGGCAGGCTGTCTGCTTGGTGGCTGTGGCTGTTGCTGTGGCACCAAGCTGCTTTTTTAGCAGCTGTGGCTGTGGTGGGCCATCCGCATGGAAGTGGTGTTTTCGGCATGCTCTCTTGCCTGCTTCAGGGTGTAGGGGTCTGTGGCCCTAGGTTCCTTGCCTAGGATCCGAGCATGCTCTCTTGCCTGCTTCTGGGTGGAGGGGCTGTGGCCCACAACACCTTGAACATATTTATTTGTGGTGAAAACATAAAATCTATTCTCTTAGCAACTTTCAAGTATACAATACATTGTTATTAACTGTAGTCACCATGCTGTACAATAGATCTTTTAAATTTATTTGTTCTGCCAGAAATCTTACATACATCCTTTGACCAGCATCTCTCAATCTCCCTCCACCCTCGTCCCCCCAGCCCTTGTAATCCTGTGTTCTAATACATCAGCATTTAAATGTGAAGAGTGCAGCACTTTGGGAATAAGGTGCTGCAATGGCAAATAAATATATCTTTTAGTTTGCCATTACTGAGGAAAGTTACTTAGTGTAGAGCATGACTAGTACTTTTTACCAGTTTAAAGAAAAATGCTGAGATAGCTTTTATTGTTCTTCGAAAGCTCATAAAGTTGGGCATTTAAGCAGGTTCCTTCTGTAAGGACTACTTTGTACTTAGTTATGAATATTGACATTCATGATATAAAATGGCATTTAACGGGTTTTGTTATTTTCATGAAAGTGTGCAGTAACCAAGAAATAAGACTTATTCTATGTTTTGTTGAAAGTGTTCAGTGTGGGTCAGACTTTAACAAGGTTCAAAAATCATGAACTTTTTTCTGTAAGGAAATTCATTATTTGGTTTGATTGGTACTCTCAGATATGCTTTGATTTGTCCATATACATCTCCTGTGGTCATGTTTTATCACATAACTCTTAACTGCAGAGCATACCTTCCATGCTACTCTAGATTAATTAGATAAAAGCAGTGTTTGAAGGCATGTGCTTATTTAGTTGCATTGATTAAATAACATATAGTTAGAGGACAGGGTCCTTTCTTCAGCTCTGGAAATAGAATTTCATTGTAATCATGATTTGCTCATTTAATAGATATGCAGATGCAACCAGCAAATATGAATCTGTCATGAAAATAGAGCCAAGCATTGCCGAATATACAATTCGTTCCAAAGAAAGGATTTGCCACTGCTTTTCTAAGGTAAACAGTTGATTTATTCCTAGAAATGTAAAAATTTAACATGTGGAATAATAACCATAAATCCTTTTCTCACATTTACTTTTAGGACGAGAAGCCTGTTGAAGCTATCAGAATATGTTCTGAAGTTTTACAGATGGAACCTGACAATGTGAATGCTCTGAAAGATCGAGCAGAGGCCTATTTAATAGAAGAAATGTATGATGAAGGTAAATCTTTAAGGAATTTGATTTGCAGTATCTAAAAGTTGATTATATCAAGTTAGCAAATATTAAGGTTCCTTTTATTTAGAACAGATTTACCAGAATACCTGGAAATGTTGACAATTTTAGAAAAATGGCAGAGAACTTGAAAATTTTTCTTTCTTAATGGAGCTTGAGTGGTATACTATGTGAAGAAAGAGTTCTGCTGTTGAAACCAGTTCAGTGGAATATAAATAAAAATTTTAGGTTTCTTTGTTATAGACAAGTTAGGGAAGATAAGTAAAACAGAAAATTTATATTAGAGATCTATCGTCTAGAGATAATCACTGTTTATTTTGGATTTATATTTTTCCAGACTTTTGTCTATGCACATAATATTACACTATATTTTATGCATATACACATGTATTCTGTGCATATACAAAATATATATAATACATATATATACAAAGCATACATATATGTCATATATGCCTAAATATAAAATGATCATCTCTGACCCCAACCTGTTTAGTAATATTAGGACAGCTGCTTACCCTACTTTGTTCAAGTTGAAGTTACAGGAGAGATTCCTGCTAGATGTTATAATGACATTGAATAAAGTCAGTGCCCTGTTACTGGAAAATAACTAAGGCATATCCAGTAATATACATTTCTTGAAAAATAGAATCCTTTTATATGTATTGTTTTGAAATTTTTTCTTGTGACAGTATGTTATGAAGATGTAAATGAGTTTTGGTTTTTTTTAAATGAGCCTTAGTGCAAAATTTTTGTTTCAAATCAGGTAAGGCACTCTAAATTGAAAACAGTAAGAGTAATTTTTGTTACATTTTGAATGGTGAAACTTGGTTTGTGGTACTCTTTTTTTAAGGCAGACTGGTCAATTACATTTCCTGCTTTGCCCAATTTGAAAAGAATCTTGCTCCTAAGCAGTTTCCAGGGAGCAATGACAACTCTGGTTACTACTATTTGTGGGACATTTTGTGGGACATTCAGACTTTGAGGTCTGACTGAGGCCTGAAATGTATGCAGTCAAAACAATAAGTCTTAATATTCATAAGAATGCTTCAATAGCATGTCATCCACATGGAAGATCCTTTTAGTATACTTGCTCTTTTCATGTTTGAGCTTCTGTATTTACTTGGCACGATGGCTTTACTCTAGGATTTTGTATTCTGGTTAGTTTTCGGAACTCTTCATCTAAAATACTTTTGTCATCTGTATGTAAACCCTCAGAATATAAAAAGCTTAGCTGTTAAAAAAATATTAAATCTTGTTGGCTGCTAATTATACTTTGAAAGATACTTTTGTAACTTGAATCTTAAACTGACTTGCCTTTTAGGGAAACTTGACAGTTTAATTCTTAAAGAAAAAGATGTCTAATACTAATTTAGTATAATTGATCTGTCTTTAAAGTCTGTTTTTTACCTTAGTACACTTTTTTTTACATAGAAGTATATTATTTGTCTTTTGGGGGAGGGGGTTTAACTATACACTGGGGGATCTTTTTGAATTATGGTTTTACAAGAGTAAAATGGTTGTTTGAGTCATAAGTATGGAAATTAAGCAGCCAGAGAGAGAACAGGAGAATGGGTTGCCAGGTCTCTAAATTTGAAAAAGAAAGAAAAAAGTCTGTATAGCCAAAACTAACAGATGTTACCTGACCTTTTTGGATTCAAATTAGAGGTTTGGTAATTGATGTGTATAAGTAGTAGTCTTTCTTAACTAGTCTAAATAATAGTAAGTCTTTAGTTGAAATCCTGAGTTAAAATATGAATGCTTTCCATATTCTTCTGTTTACTTGTTTTACCTTTTTTTAAAGCCAGCAATTTAAAATGGTAGGTAAATAATGAATAAAGAATCAATAAGTTCAGGTTAGTGAATAATGGAACATGTAGATTTACTAATTTTGGGCTTATGATAAAATTCATCAGGAAACACTCACTAAAGGTAAGTAAAGTAAGACTGTTGTTTGAGGGTGCCTTTGAGGTCATAAAAAATGAAGCCTAACTCTTTGGATACCTATGGATCTTCTTTTTAATAGCTTTTGAGAGGAATAAACTGACATTGAAGCAATATTAAAAAGTTGGCCAAATTCCTTTGAATATAGTGATGACTCAGGCATGTGTATGACATAAGCAGTTATATTTGCTAAAACTTAAGCTATGTGAGGGCAGGGACCTGCGTGTACTTTATTAACTGATGCATCCCTGGTATTTGTGCCTGGCACAAAGCGGGCACTCATGTATTTCCAGAATGAATGAATGCAGTTAATTTATTTAGTGGAAAGAGTATAGGATTTAGAATTAGTTCTGGCTTTGTGTCCGGCTGTGTGCAGTTTATTTTTATTTTTAATTGTAAAATATATGTAACGTAAAATTTACCATCTTAACCATTTTTAAGTGTACAGTTCAGTAGTGTTAAGTATATTCACATTGTTGTCAAAATGAACTCCAGATCTTTTTTACCTTGTAAATTAGATCTATATACCCGTTAAACAGTAGTTTCCCATTACCCCCATCCTTCAGCCCCTGGCAACCACCATTCTTCTTTCTTTTCTCTATGAATTTGACTGCTCTAGGTATCTCATATATTTGGAATCATACAATATATGTCTTTTTGTGACTGGCTTATTTCACTTAGCATAATGTCCTCAAGGTTCAACCATGTTATAGTATGTGACAGGATTTCCTTTCAAGGTTGAATAATATTCCATTGTATGTATATACAACATATTTTTTATTCAGTCATCCATTGATGGACATTTGTGTTGTTTCCACCTCTTGGCTATTGTGAATAGTGCTATTATGGACATGGGTGTGCAAATATCTCTGAGTCCCTGCTTTCAATTTTGGATATATACCCAGAAGTAGGATTGCTGAATCATATGGTAGTTCTATCTTTAATTTTTTGAGAAACCTCCATATTTTCTGGGGTGGTTGTACCATTTTACAATCCTACCAACAGTGCACAAGGGTTCCAATTTCCCCACATCCTTGTCAACACTTATTTTCTATTTTTTTGATAGTAGCCCTCTTAATGGGTATAAAGTGATATCTCATTGTGGTTTTGATTTTTATTTCCCTAATGATGAGTGATGTTGACCATCTTTTCACATGCTTTTTGGCCATTTGTATATCTTCTTTGTAGTGCACTTCTTTTGCCATATGTTTTCCATCTAGTTACTTAGCCTGTTATGTTTTACTTTCCTTATCTGTACAATAGGAATAAGAATAGTACATATATCTCATAGAATTGTTGTGACTAAATAAGATTATGCTCAGAAAATGTCTAGTGCAGTGCTCCTAGGAAACTTCTAAATAAATGGTTTCTACTATGCTCATTTTCAGGATAGTTGTTTGGAACTTGCCTTGACTTTTCTTTACAAACAATATTGTATGGAATAGTGGTGTTGTCTGAATGTCCCCCCAAACTCACACTGGAACTTAACCCCCAGTATGGTGGTGAAAGATGGGGCCTTTAAGAGGTTATTGGATTGTGAGGACTGTGCCCTCCTGACTGGATCGATCCATTCATTGGAATAATAGATTGATGGTTTAATGAGCTGTCATGGGCGTGGTTCTGATGGCTTTACATGGAGAGCAAATAAGGTTAGCTTTCTTGCTCAGCCCATTCTCACCATGTGACACCCTGGTTGCCATGGGACCCTGTTGTAGAGATTTCCCAGGAAAAGGTCCTCACCAGATGTGCCCCTTGGATTGTGAACTTACCAGTCTCTGAAACTGTAAGAAATAAATTTCATTTTCTTATAAATTATCCAGTTTCACATTTTCTGTTCCAAGTGACAAAAAATGGACTAGTACAAATATAGCTTCTTAGACTGCTGCATTAACTACATTTGATACAGATGTTATTTTAGTGTTACTAGTAATATTCAGAATTCTGAAAACAGAAGCTTTTCTGGATGAAGGGCTGGCCTGCACAAAATTGTGAAAGAGGTAAAGTTTATCTTTGACATCGTATGATGTTGTCCTGTAGGCATATTCTTGTGCCTGCTTATCCTAGGACTCCACCTAGTGATGCTGCTTAGGCCTGCCCTACGCAAAAGTATTCTGTGTTCAAAATTCACACCACCTCCTTGCATCAGCAACTTGACACACCCCCTCCCACCCTGTGCACAGCTTTTGTGTGAGGGGTGAAATTTAAGATATCTTTATAAAACACTGATAGGTTTCTATTTCTATGAGATAAGCATTTTTAACCCAAAGGAATCTGAGTAGTAGAATTTCAAGCGCACACATCAGGCAGCCTAGGGTATGGTCCTTCATGCCTACAGGACTCATCCGTAGGCACTCTTCTGAGTGGATAACATTTCTCACAGCTGCTTCTTGTTTCAAGGTTGTTGACCAGGGGTTCCTGGTTCCTATTTATAGGTATGAGAAGGGGAAGAGATTGGTCTTTTTTGGAAGATGCTGGTTATATTTAGGATAATACCTAAATTTGGCTTTATAAATTGGAGGCTGCTTATATATTGATATTTTTACACACCAACCATAATGACCATGGACACGTATAATCAGAATCTATAAAGCAGATGTTTCTGAGACTTCCAAATCTTGAAATAGGAGTATCTACGTTAGCTTCAACTAATGAACTGGAAGAAGATGGTTAGAATAGAAAAATGGCTAGCCTTTTGCAAAGACAACTAGTGGGATATGGCATGTGGATTGATGAAGTCCTTTGGCTGTTCATCTCATGTACTATAAAATCATGCCTGCAACTTTTATTCATACACAGCCTTCTTAGCCGCAGATTCCTCTTTTCTTTTGAGAAATGCATAGTTATAAGGAAGACTACATAGCTACCTGCTACGTGGGGATTGGTACATTTACCAATTAGCTGAGTTTTAGCATGTTTGCCTAGCGTATCAGTTGGTAAAACCCTGTACCCCCTACAGTGCCAACCCTGTGAATCTATGAGCTTAATATGTAGGTAAGGAAATAGGAAACAGTCACAATAGTTAAATAATATTATTCAGGAAGGAC